CCCCAAAACCCCAAAACCCCAAAACCCCTCTTCATTTTTGGCAAATTGAAAATATACAGACTTTTAAGTGAAGTTTAGAGAGATTCAAAGTAGTGAGATAACAATCTAGACCTCATAATTCCTGGAATTATGTTTAGACTCAATTGATATTTAGACTCTGAAAGCATAACTTCCTGCGTGTTCTTCTAGACCTCGTCCTTGGCAATTGCACCTTCTGGTCATAAGGAGATTTATACCTGTTTAACGATAATATCTGTGTAGTTTTAGGCACTGGCGACTGAACCCGATGTAATTCAGAAATTTGACATTTCTTAGTTGGTCTTCATATTAATTTTTGGTCATCCAGATAGTATTTTTCAATTTTCTAATACTTCAGAGAAAAGTCTAGAATATATTAAACAATCCAATTCAAACAAACTCGATCTATCGATCCCAAATAGTTATCCTAAACCAGGATGATATATCCAGATCGCTTTCTAAATCTGCCCTCAGAGTACTCAAAATCCTTGAGATCTACACGACCAAAAATGGACTAAAACCTCTAGTCTTTTCCTATTCTCCCCTGGAAATGTCTCTTAGCATACATAGAGGTTGATCCCATGAGGTAGCACTCAGGCACATGGAAACATTTTATCATTAAGAAGCTGTGGGTTTACCTAGAATCCCTTAATCTCTTGCTGGGCCTAATGATAATTAGCCTAAGGGTTACTTCTGAATGGGGATTATAAGATCCACTAGTCTTTGATGAAACAGCACTGTAGGAGATCGAATATGGTTGGTAGATGTCAGATTGGGATTAGTTAGGTGACGATCTTTAGACCCCTCTGCGAGGTTTTTAGTCTTGTTGGAGTGAGTAGTCAGTCTTGAATGAAGCTTAATTTGTGGTTCAATGGAATGAAAATGAGAGTCATCAAATATGAGGTTAAAATCTTGGTCACTGAGAGGAGATCTAGCTGTATCAGAACTTCAAATTGGAGGTTTAAATGACTTTTTTGCATATGCTGCTAAGTACTCTCGATCCATACGGCTATATCTGTTTCTGGAGCTGCTAACTGAAGGGTCCTTTTTGAATTTTAACCTTGACAAAGGAACTCTTCTCCTTTGGAATTTAGATGAAGCCAGCACTTTGGACGGATTATAGAATTTACGATATTTGTTCTGACATTCAGACAAGAAAGACTTAGTGTTATATTTCTGAGTTATAGTGCTGATGTAGGTGTTTGAAATAGATGTAATTGAGTTTATATGTTCCCTATGTGTTAGAATTAGATTTACTGATACTGCTGCTTTACAGGATGTGTATTTCTTTGTTGTGCCTTTTGATTCCTGAAGCTGCTGATTTCCCTATCGATATCTAAAATTTACACATTGGGCTACCTAGCTCAGCAAATTGCTTTAATAATCTTTGTCTCAACTTATATGAAAAGTGGACTTTATTCTCTTTCATAATAGAATCCACAGGTTTTGAATTTGGTTGTTCTAAGAAATGTATTGTATCTTTATCTCTTCTTAAATTATTATTCTGCTTCCCTTGAGTATTCTGTTTCGAACTCCCAATCTGAATTTTATTATAAGCCTTACCTTTGATGTCTGAGTTTTCTTTCTTGAAGCATGTAGAGTATTTTCTTGCTGAAAAGTAGGGACTTTAGTCTATTTTTATAAGTGTCAAGATTTACATTATCAGAGCCAAGCTCTGGCTGTTGAAATTTTGTAAAATCTACAATTATAGACTTCCTTTACCACTCTTCTGGGATGAAACAGTTCTACAAGGTTACATGAGGTATACCTCATTGAAGCCCTTCCTGTACCATGGGCAGACATTGCTCGTGAAGCCATTGATTTAGACGCATCCAAACCTAACGGTATCTTACAACCAAATGGATCTATTTAGTAAAGATAATTTATAATGAGAATATTCTCCTAATCTTATGAATGAAGTCTGGTCGTCTCTTACAAAAATATTTACCTTCCTATATTTTGAGTTTAATGAGAGTTACTTTCATTTCAGATATTTCATGCTCAAAAGCCAGAAATGGAGATTTACCTAAAGGAAATATATGAAAATAGTACTTTGCTCATTACTTATGCCTTATATTCGATTGACGTATCGATTTCTTGCCAATTTGAGACCTGTTGAATGATATAAAGTCCTTCTTGCTATCAAGAGTCGTTGGCTTTACTGAAGATAAAATATGATTTTACATTTGGACATCTTATTTTCAACGTATTTTTGAATTCTTTCTATATGAAAAGCTGATTTAATTTGCATATAGATCATTTTATTTCTGCAATATACTCAAAGTATCAATGAGGCTGTCAAGTCTGATCATTAAGCTGTGGATGTTTTCATATAATGAATCTATCTTCTAGTACATACCTCTTTCCTTCTTTCGATTTATTCATAATTAACTTATGAACTTCTCTATTAGTCTTCCCTCCTTTATGGATCTCTGATTTAGGAGATTCTGAACTAGGAGTCAAGTTTTGAGAAGACTTTGAGTCATTTGAAGGACTTCTAGATTAAAATGTATTAAAATTAAATTTACAATAAGAATTAGGGTATTTAAAGCATTTTTTTACAAATTCTAGCCTATTTCAGATAAAAATTGTACGCTGAATGTATTTTTGTATGTTTTATTGGTGAAAAATTGTGCATACTGAGATATAGATGGAACAGAAGAGTTTTCTTCTGAGATATCAAGATTGTTGATCTTTATCTTCCCTACTCCACTTGAAATGGCAGCAGAAATAGAAGGAATGTTAATTTTTGGATTTGAAGGAGAGGTTGGCGATATCTAATAGGATCAATAAAATACACTTACTGCTTCTTTGTTCAAGTATCTTTTACTCAAACGAACCCTAAAGATAAAAGACAGCTTACATATTTCAATTAAACTTCTTAACAATCGAGTTCTTCGGACCCTTTCTTTGACTTCTACCTCATTTTCTATGTCTTATTCAAACATATACCTTCTTCTTTATCTTCTTTCCTTGCTTTTCTTTCTGTGGTTTAACTACAGGCTTCTCGCAGTCACTATCAGAGTCTAAAATAGCAATATCTCCTACCAGAAATTTCAAAATATGGTTGTATAACTCCTTGCGGGAGGATCTGATTCATGTCTATTATTCAATAAAAATATAATGAATCGGGGTTTTGGGGTTTTGGGGTTTTGGGGTTTTGGGGTTTTGGGG